GACTCGATGGCACCTGACAACAACAACAACAACAAGACTAAGCTCTGATTTCTCAGCAGAAACCATGCAGGCAAGAAGACAATGGAATGACATACATAAAATTCTCAAAGAAAAAATTGCCAACCATGAATCACGTGTTCAGCAAAAGTGTCTGTCAAATATAATGGCAAAATTAAGGCGTTTTCAGACTAACAGAATTTATAAAAAACCAGACCAACTGTACAAAAAATGCGAAAGGGAATTCTTTGGACAGAGACCCGACAACAGTCTGAGACTAACATGTATGACAGTATCACCTAGACTCACCCCAGACAGTCAGACTGACAAGAGATAGAGCTGCGACACCAACAAAATGCCCCATAAAGGAAACCTAGGGAATAACCCGGTTACAGAACTACCGAACAAATTGGAAGCCAAATAGATTTCTAGAAAACAAAGTCTTAGCTAGAATCGTAAAAACCAGATCGAGCCTTTTTCTTAGCCATAACCCACCCTCCCCCCAAACACTAACCGTAGTCATGAGCCTAACAATGAAGCCCTGTTGTAGTGCGTGGGATAAAGCACTGACCTGCAAGGTTGGGTGGAACCACAAGGTTGGAGGTTCAAACCCACCAGCCGCTCCTGGGAAACCCTGTACAGGGTCACTATGAGTCAGAACGGACTCAATGGCACTTAACAACAGCAACAAAGACCTAATCATAGTCCCAACCCTAATTCTTTCTACTACCCTCCCCCCAAAAAACAAGTTCAAAATTTAAATGTACATTAATTAAAAATGCACACAGAGCACCAAGAATGCACACAAGACGAAGAAGATCCAGTTAGCCACGTGTGGACGGGAGTTACCCACTGCTGAATCATTCTGTGGGACGGTAGAACTGCCTCTCAGCGTTTCCAAGGCTGTGATTTTGATTTTTAGCTTTGTATTATGAGTTGAGTGAAGGTTTACAGAGCAGATCATCAGTTTTACACGCAATGAATCTTTTTCATTTCATCTCAATGGCTCAGCCCCCTCCACATAACAACAGTAGCTCACTTTCTCCCTGTGAATCTGATCTCTATCCCTCCTCCTTTCCCAGCCCTTTGGAACTTTGTCCTTAGGTAAGTGCCGCTCTTTTCATCTTAGAAGGCGTGCACAGCTCATTGGTGTTGGCCTCTCTACACACCTATCTATTACTTGGCTGGAAATTGAACCACAAAGGTGAGATCAGTTCCAGACCTGAAGGATGACCAAGGGCCAGAGTCTCCGCTGTCTCTAGTCACTTTCTGATCAGTAAACCTCATGTTTTTTATAATTTTGAGTTTTGTTCCACATTGTCTCCCATTGTACTCAGGGCCTTCTAAGGTGATCCCTAGCAGCACAGTTGTAGTCATAGCTGGGTACCATCTCGTTCACATCTCAGGGTCGTGGAGAAAGTCACATGTTCTACCAGTCCCTGGATTCATTGATTCTCAGCATCTTCAGTTCTCATCATTCTCGTGTCCTCCGTACCGTAGAGGGCTGCTCATAAATTCTTAAAATCCCAGGGACTACTCAGAATACTGGGGTGTAGAACAATTGTCTTTGTGGTCTGTGCTATGCCAGTGACTGTGGTGTCCCCTAAGACTGTGGTCCTGAACCCCCAGGCCTCAGGGTGTTTGGTTATGTCTAAGAAGTTTTCATAATTTTGACCTCTGTGTGCTCCACCACACATAGACCCCTGGTAGTGAAGTAGGTTATGAGCTGGCCTGCTAACTGCGAGCTCAGCAGTTCGAATCTCCCAGTCAGTCCTTGGGAGAACAATGAAACTTTCTGCTCCTGTAAAGGTTTACAGGCTTGTGCAGGACTGCTGTGAGTCAGAACCGGCTCCACGGCTTAGAACTACCATGCTCTACCACATTCATTGATGTGTTTGCAGCAGAGGTAATTAAGAGCAGACAGCCACATCTGTCTCTTGTGGTGCAGCTGGTGGATTTGAACTGCCATTCTTGCCGTTAGCAGGTGAGCGCTTTAACCATTGTACTACCAGGGCTCCTTGGACAGTTGTAAATGTTATTTCAGACTCGCAAATGAAGGTGTTTCAGGCAGAGTAGAGAGCAGACGGTGGCCCTGGGCAGGGAGGACGTGGTCTGTTTGGGGCCACTGGGGAGTTGGGTGGGAGTAGATTGTAGAAGGCTTGGATGGCCAAGAGAAGTCATTTTCCAGGTGACTCTGTGAGGTCCTGGTGTGGCACTGCGGGTTAAGGTGCTAGACTGCAAAATTGGTTTGAACCTCAAGATCAGTGGTTCAAGCTCACCAGCCGCTCCTCGGAAACCTTACCCAGGGTCGCTGTGAGTCAGGACTGGCTTGGCGGCACTTAACAACAACAACATACGAGGCCTTTAGTGGGGCAGAGCTGGCACCCGTGGCCCTGGAGGGTGGGCCCAGCAATGTGTAGCTTGCCCTAATCCAGCCTTTCTCCCCCGTCGTCCACCCACAATAGGACCATGTAGGGGAAGCCCTCCCCACAGCGATGGTCACCAGGCTGCACGATGGCATGCGGAGGGTTGACCTCACAGGCTCTGCCAAGGGTCCCAGCGAGAGCGTGTCCCAGGTGCAGTTCACCATGGCCATGTCCCACCTGTTAAAGGGGAGCTCCGGAGAGAAGAGCCTGCTGATTCTCAAGATGATATCCGCCCAGGAGGGTTCTGTGAAAGTCAGAGAAATCCAGAAGGTAGTGAGGCCAGGGAGCCCTCTTGGCCATTAGACTCGTTCTCATGTGTGTCCACCCTTGGGGGCCTTTGAACACGTGTTGGTTGTTTTTGATTGTGGTTTGGCTGACAGTTTACAGAGCAGCTCAATTTTCCATTCAACAACTCACACTCATTTTGTTTCACATCATTGATTGCAATCCGCACAATGTAATGGCAACGTATCCTCCTTCCTCCTTGTGTTTCCCGTTCCTAGTTTCCATTCCTCCTTTCCACATCCTTCTGAACTTTGTCGTGTTGTTGTTGGATGCCCTCGAGTTAGCGCTGACTTACAGCAACCCCGTGCACAACAGTACTAAGTCCTGCCTAGTCCTTGGCCATCTCATAGCTGTTGATACGTTGGGGCCCATCACTGCTGTCATTGTGTCTGTCCTTCTCACTGGGGGTCTTCCTCTTCTTCATTGACTCTCTGCTTTACCAAGCATGATGTCCTTTCCAGGGACTGGTCCTTCCTGGCTTCTAAGGAGCATTCTGGCTGTACCTCTTCCAAGATAGAGTTGTTTATTCTTATAGCAGTTCATGGTACTTTCAGTATTCTTCATCAACACCATGATTCTTTGTACAGATTCTGCTCCAGTCTTCCCAACTCATGTGCACAGCACAGGACGTGATTGAAAACACCATGGCTTGGGTCAGGCACACCTTAGTCCTCAAATTGACATTTTATCCCTGGGCACATGCTGTCCTGTGATCTCTGCCGGTTGATTGTTCTAAGGAATGTGTACTGCCCAGTTGTAAGTGTTCCTCTTGTACATCTGTCTAATGTTTGATTGAAAATTGAGTTCAGCTCCAGGCTCGAAGGTAACTAAGGCAGTTTTTGTTGTTGTAAAGTGCCTATGAGTTTTTTCCGACTCATAGGAATTCTCTGTAGGGTTTCTGAGAAGTGGCTGGTGAGCTTGAACCGGTGACCTTGTGGTTTAAATGGACCTTACCGTCCAGCACATTAACCTGCAGCACCATACCAGGACTCCAACTAAGGCAATAGGCTGGTCTTTTTTATGCAAATCTGTTTTCCATTCAACAATTTACACATTTTGTTTCACGGCCCAAGTTATAGTCCCCACAATAATGTAACAGTATTCGTCCTGTTCCCTCCTGTTATTGGTAGGTGCCATCGAGTGGCTTCTGACTCTCACACACACACACACACACACACACACACACACGATAGGAAACGCCTTCGCCCTGGGTCCTATATACTCATTTTGTCTCTTCCCCACCTCTTCCTGCCTCCTCAGCTTTGTTTTTGGGTAAACGCTGCCCTTTTGGTCTTGTGCGGTTGATTGTTCTGAGGGTCCTTATGTCACCCCAGAGTCTTTTTTGTTTGTTGTTGTGAAGTGCCAGTGAGTCAGGTCTGACACAAACTGACCCCGTATAGGGTTTCCGAGGCATGGCCGGTGAGCTTGAACCACCGACCTTGCAGTTCAAAGCGACTTTGCAGTCCATTGTATTAACCCACTGCCCACACCAGGACCCTGGGTCTTTTTTATGACTTTGAATCTCGTTACACATTTTTCTCCCATTGTTTCTATAACCTTTTATAGTCCCTTCCAGATTGGTCACATCTAGCTCTGGTCTCAGGCTAACGGAGTCTGTGGTTTGCTTGGTCCAGGAGTCCCTGGTTGTTCTTGATATGTGCTGTCGACTTGCTCGTAGGTTTGAACTGCTGACCTTCTGGTTAGCAGACCAGTGCTTATTCTACAACACACCAGTCCTTGGCCATTAGGAAACGAATTGTTTCTTGGAGTCTCTTGATTTTCTCCATGCTTTGCTTGGGATGAGGAGAAACCAATAGTTGCATCTCAGGTGCCCACTGACTAACTTTTAAGGTTCCAGTCCCTGAGCACTGGGATATAGAACATTTAGACCATGCCCATCATGGCGAGGCCAGAACGCCTGGTCAGAGGCTGGGGCCGGGTCGCGAGCCTCATTAGAAAAGTGAGCGACCACCCCAGACTTGAGATGTATGGTGTTTACCCGCGTTGTGGTCCATCCTCAGTGACGTTACGCTGAGGTGACATGTTGTCAGTTCACAGAGGACCTGGTCACCGCTGTGGTTCATGTGCTCGGCCACCGACAGTTGCTGAGAGGCTGGAAGCAGAAGGAAGCACCAGGCGCCCCCTGCAGGACGCAGGCGATGACTGCACAGCTGCTCTCTGAGATGAGGCTGCCAGGTAAGTGCAGTGAATACATACTGTGTTGATAACTGTCTCTTGGTCCTCCGTTCTGGGGCTGGGCCTCTGGGGACAGCAGCCTCTGAGTTGTAGCTTGCAGAGGAAAGAAAACACAGGAGCACTGAAGTGGAGTGGTCTAGATGAGCGAGCCGTGTCGCACAGACATAGAACGTGAGCGTCCACGCAGTACACGTGTTGGGTTTTAAATAGCCATGTTAAAATGTAAATTGAGGCAGGTGGAACTCATCTTAATGATGTATTTTACTCGATTCAGTGTATCCAGGCCACCAATAGAAAAAAAGACACACCAAATTCTTCTGCGTTGTGTTTTGCACGCGGAGTCTTTGAAACGGGGTGCAGGCTCAGAGCGTTCACAGAAGGCTCACACTGGGGGTCCTGTCCACCTCCCCACCCCCACAGATGGCAGGAGGTTCCAAGGCCCTGAGCAGCTCGACTATGACTGTGACCGAGCCACGGTGGAGGACTGGGTGTTCCGGGTCCCCCACGTGGCCACATTTCTGGGTGTGGTCGTCCACCAAGGCCTTCTGGTCTTGAGTGCGTCCCTCAGCCTGGCCACCCTGATCCCCGAGCGTCACGTGGAGCAGGGGCAGGAGTTTGCCAGCGTGTTGGACGTGCTGTCGGTCATCTTCGTCAATGCCCACGTGCCCAGGGAGCAGCAGCACAGATGGCGGCTGCTCTTCTCCTCCCAGCTCCATGGGCACAGCTTCTCCCAGCTCTGCGGACGCATCACCCACCGGGGGCCCTGCGTGGCCCTTCTACAGGACCAGGATGGCCATGTGTTCGGCGGGTTTGCATCCTGCTCCTGGGAGGTCAAGCCTCAGTTTCAAGGTAAGATCCGGAGACCCGGGCCCCAGGGCAGACCCTACAGTGGACACTACCCAAGTGTGTCCGTCCACACAGTAGAATACTGTGCACTCATAGAGACAGGCCATTACACCGATGACCCTCAAAACCAGTTGTTAAAGTGCCGTTAAGTCATTTCTGACTCATCGCAACCTCGTACAGGGTTTCTGAGGAGCGGCTGGTGAGCTTGAACCACTGGACCTTATGGTTCAAACCGACCTTGCAGTCTAGCGCATTAACCTGCAGCTTCACACCAGGACACAGACACACAAGGACACATGTTGTCTGATCCCATTTACTTGACATATGTAAATGAGACCAACAAACAGCGAGCGACAGAAAGCTCACTTGTGGTTGCCAGGTGCTTGGGAGAGGAAAGGGAAGTTACCGGTCCAGGACTGTGAGCTCCTGCAAAGGGTGATGGGAAATTTGGAACCGTCTAGTGGTGAAGGCTGTGCAACACGGTGAGTGGAATTCATGTTGTGGAAGCGTGCACGACAAGGCTGAGAGCTCGGGAGATACTGCGGCCTCAGTTCCAGGCCAGTAGAGAGCCTCGCAACCCAGCGTGTGGTTCCGTTTCCCAGCGTCTGTGGGAGAGACCGTGGTCTCAGAAGTGTGTCACAGCTGGATGAAAGAGCCAGAACGTGACGCACAGACATGAAGTGAGTGCGCGCTATTGAAGAGATGGTGCCAGAAGGCGGGGTGGCCACCGGCCCTCCGTTGGTAAGACGCGCAGCATCGGCGTAGGACACACGACACGCAGCATCGGCGTCGGCGAAGGGCAGTGAGGTGAAGTGCGTCTGTATGTGTTTTCACTACAATTAGGAAAGCAGTTTTGGGTCACCGACAGCTGCCGTTGGAGACCACAGAGCAAGGTTTTGAGAAAGGCCTTTTTAGGCACTAGGAGGCTGGCAGAACCCTGGTGATGCTGCAGTTGAAGCGCTTGGCTGCTAACCATAAGATTGGCAGTTCAAACCCACTAGTCACTTCTGAGGAGAAAGATGAGGAAGTCTGCTTCCCTAAAGATCTGCAGGCTTAGAGCCTCTGGGGCAGTTCTGCCCTGTCCTGCAGCGCCCCTCTGAGTGGGAACGGACAACACAGCTGAGGGTTATGGGGATGGTGTGTGTGATGAGGTGTGTGGAGTCAGGTGTGTTCTATTCCTGAATCTGAGGGTAACAACCCAGCAGAGAGCAAGCCCGTGGAAACCGCACATTTAGTACGTTCCTGCGCGTCTGTCCGGGAAATACAGCATCGCTTCTTGGAGAGGGGGCCTCAGCGGCAAAGCATGGAACGATCGCTTTCCACACAGGAGTCCTAGGAGTGATTCCCGGCTAACACATCTCACGCACAGACACAACCGGCCTGTCAGTGGAAGCTTGAGTGTTGCTTTGAGGCTGAACAGGCTTCAGTGGAGTATCCAGACTTAAGACTAGGAAGGAAGGCCTGGAGATTTACTTTCAAACACCAGCCAGTGAGAACCCTGTGGGTCTCAGTGGTCCGACCCGTACCCACTCTAGGGGAGGGTGCAGGGACAGGCAGTTTTTGTTCTGTTGTGCAGGGGACGGGCAGGAACACCATGGCAACAGCAACCATATTTGAGGACTGAATGCAATTTCATGGCCACTGTCCGGCCCCACTCAGTTTTTGTGTAGGTTTTCTGTGCTGCAGTTGCAGAGATCCCGGTTTTTGTGGATTGAGAAGACAGGGTTGGAGAGCCTGCTCTGATCAGCCAGCTGAGAAGCCCTTGGGGTCAGTCTGGGTTGGGGTCCACGAATGTCACCTGCCCTAACGCTGTTGGGCATGCCCCCTTACCTGCTAGGGGCTGTCTTCCCTGAGGCCTGCTGGGCTGTGGTCCCTTGGTTCTGCCCTCTGTGTTCTGGCCCCACGGAGGGTATGGAGGGCAGCCTTCTGTCTGGTGCTTCTCTGTTTGGAAAGTTCTAGATTGTGTGAGTTCCCTGGGGCACTGCCTGAACCCTCTGTAGTGTCTGATGGTGCTGAATGAATGAATGAGTCTGTGGATAAGTGAATGAAGGGACAAATCTGTACTGGGACCCCTGACCCTTCGTAGAGCTTTTGTATTTATTTCAGTGACCCACGTGCCCACACCTGGCTCCTGGCCCACGCCACCTGTCCCCTCCACTGTCTGCACTTTCTCGGGGTCCTCCCCTGCCGGACGTGGTGGAGTTTTGGCCTGGGAACAGGTCTGCACAGCACCGTGTGTTTGGTTGAGGGCTGGCCGGGAGGCTGCAGTCTCTGGCTCCTGTGTTCAGCCTACCATTTCTGACTTGGGTTTGCTCTGCTCACCAAGCCTGGTGTCCGCTGAGAGCCAAGTGTCCCCACAAACAAATTCCGCACTCATTTTCAGCTGTCATCCTAAGTGTCCCCCACCCATCAGCCTGGGTCTGGGATAGCAGCAGGGACCCCCGGAGGACGAGCCGTGTGGCCCATCTTTGCTTTCTGAAGGGCTTCCATTGTGTTCCCGCTTCTCCCCGCCCTGGTCAGACTCAGCAGGACAGTTTCTGTTCTTTCTGGTCACTTTCAGGAGACAACCGGTGTTTCCTGTTCTCCGTATCTCCCCGCATGGCCGTGTACACGTGCACTGGCTACAATCAGCACTTCATGTACCTGAACCACGGGCAGCAGACCATCCCTAACGGATTGGTAAGGCATCTCCCGTCACACGATTCCAGCTTGCGGTGGACACACGGGGGTCAGAGATGCTGATTTATTTCAGAACCTGTTCTCGAGGCATGATGTACTCGGTGGTCAGGGGGACAGAGTTTCTTTTCTGGACAGATGCAGCGTCTGACAGATCTGGGGGTCTGGGTGTGAATGGTACATTTGGCCACCTTCCTGGACTGACCCATCTCTGGTATTCCTGCCCTGTCGCCGGTGTGCAGGATGAGCTGTGGGGTGGGGACCCAGGCTGTGGTCAAACTTGCCTCCCTGGACGTTGTCTGTGGTCACTTTTAACATAGCAGGCTGCCAGTCGATTCCTGGCTGTTCCTCATGGCCACTCGGCCGCAGCAGAAAGGGGCTGAAGGCTGAGGGTCAGTGTGGGGCTGGGGTGAGCAAGGGGTGTGGGGTGGTGGGACTGGGCCCAGCAACCCAACACGTGCACCCCAGCCTCATTCAGGAGGGAACAACGGTGTGGCCATGGCCAAGCCCGGTTTCTGTTCTTGGTTCCTTCACAGAAAGCTCCTCTGAATGATGGCAGCCCACACCCAGGCAGGTCCACCATGGTCAGGATGGGGGGTGTCCAGTGCTCCCCAAGGGACCTGGGAGGGGCGTGGGGTGTGCGCACGTGTCTCCGGACACGGAGTTTAAACACCAAACACCTCCGAGGAAAGGATGTGAGCAGGCAGGGAGGGGCTGCTGAGGGAGGGGGCAGCACAGAGAGTTTGTGTGACAGGGAACAGGGCAGCCGCGGCATGGTGGGCGGAAGTCACCCTGGAGCTGTGTGGGGAGAGGACTGACAGGCTGGGGTCTCTGGGCCCTGCTGGTCAGGGTTCTCAGCCCCTGGTGTGACTTGCTCTTTCAGCCACTGTGGCCTTGAGAGGAAGAGCCGTGGGGGGCTCTCTGGGGCCTCCTTCTGGAAACTTGAATGGGGCACGCAGACCGCTTTAATCTGCAGTCTCAGCTCAGCACCTCAGACAGTGGCAGTGGGTGATGTGGCCTTGTCCTATCCCTTCCCAGGGCATGGGTGGCCAGCACAACTACTTCGGGTTGTGGATCGATGTGGACTTTGGGAGGGGCCACAGCAGAGCTAAGCCCACATGCACCACCTACAACAGTCCTCAGCTGTCGGCCAAGGAAGACTTCCTCTTCCACAGGCTGGAGGTGTGGGCTGTCGGGGACTTCCAGTCTCAGCCGGTGAGCGCATACCCTTCCTTCTCCAGGGTGGGTTAGGGTAGAGACCTGTGACTGAGACACTGCCAGATTCGGTGCCCCCACAACATCCTGGGCCCAGAGCGGGAGGGGTTTGAGGAAGGGGACCAGAACCCCTGGCCCTCCTCCTTGTGACCACAGGTCATCCCACTGAACCGCCCCCTTCTCTGTCTAGGCCAATAGCGACAGGAGTATCCTGGACTCAGACCCGGAGGCCAAGGCCCTGCTGGAGATCAGTGGGCGGAGTCTGCACAGCCAAGGGCTGCGGGAAGCCCCTGAGGAGGATGCTGCTACCTGACAGTCTGTGGGTGTCCCCGTCAGCCACACCCCTCCTGGTGTAGCTCATCACATGCTCGTATTTCCCCACATGAACAGTTCAATCCGTAAACCTTTGTTCCTTCCTCTAAAGGAGCCCCGAGGATCAAGACGTCTGAGAACTCATAAGGGACAGCCTTGCTGGGAATGGCGGGTCTCATGTGCAGGAGGTCAGCCCCCTTTCAACATCCCCTCGGACAAGCGAACACACAGGCCACATCCAAGCGCAGGCAGGACCCTGACACCCATTCCTGGGACCAGGAGCGGCTTCCTGGTGACGTCATCCCGTGGAGCACAGTTCTGTGTTTGTAAAAAGGCATCTGCTGTGTTTTCAGAGGGATGGGGAGCAGATGTGGAGACCACCCAGTCTCACAGGACCAGGGTCCTCAGTAGATGTTACGAGGACATCCACTACGATGTGCACATTTTAAACTGTGTAAGTCTCTGTGGGGAGATCATGAGGAGAGGTGCCCAGAAGCAGAAGTGATTTAAATGGGACACCCAGGGCCCTGCCGTTGCTGGTGTGTGGAACTATAGGTGTACGCGTTACGTGTGCGTACGTGGGCGTACACCTTGCGTGGGCGTACACCAGGAACCCTGGTGGCATGGTGGGTTAAGTGTTGGGCTGCTAACTAAAAGCTCAGTGGTTTGAAACCACGCTGCTCCATGGCAGAAAGTTGAGGTTGTCTATGCAAAGATTTATAGCCTTGGAAACCCTATGGAGCAGTTGGACTCTATCCTCTAGTGTCTTTATGTAATACAGGCATGCGCGCTTACACACACGTGTGTGCCTATACGAGGGGGCTTCAGATTGTTTGTGGAAAAGCAGAATTAAAAGATGATAGAATGTTTCCACAAACGTTTTGAAGCCCCCTTGTGTGTACAATGCCTTTAAGTTTTGATTCCTGGCGCTGCCATGTGTGCAGAGCGGACTGCTCCACAGTGTTCCCAGGCTGAGTTTTCGGAGATAGGTCACTAAGCCTGTCTTCTGAGGTTCCTCTGGGTGGGTCTGATCTGCCAACCTGGTAGTTAGTGGTCCAGTGCATCACTGTTTGTGCCAACCAGGAACTCTGTAATCTCTTCAGGCCTGACCTGTGAGTGGCCTGGCAGTGCTCTGCCTGACTGCTAGGCCCCCCTGCCCCAGCTCCCTCACCCATCAGTATTGTCCCACATGCTGGGTACTGCTCCCAGAGGGGCTCTCCTTCCCCTCGGATCCCAAAGCGATGCTCTGCCGGCCTGAGGCTGGCCCTGTGACACCCTGGGCATCCATCCGCACCGCTGGCCACAAGCTCCTTGCTTTCATGAGTGGTCCACTGGTCTCTAATGACACAGCTGTCTTCTGTCTTCTGCCATACACACTGACCTCACGCAGGTCTGACGAGAGTACAGTCGTATTACAGTCGTATTACACAAGTCGTCTGGATCTCAAGCCATAGTCCCTCGGGCCCTTTGCAGTTTTGCATTTTCCACTAGGAGGCTCACGAGGCCTCCTGCAAAGCACAAGGCCTTGTAATGGAGTTCTCGTGCAATGCTCGGAAAAGATGGGGCTGGGTGCCGATGGATCTCGTAACCCTCCTGAACCAACAGTGGAAGGGGAATGTTCAAGTCCTCAAGTGCCCAAACTGTGAATCCAAAGACGTATGTACGGGGGTCTTGCGTTTGTTCTGGAATGTTCTCTACACCTATGCAATTAAACACCTCATTCACAAAGGCCTGTTGGTGTCCACACCTGTACCACCATGGAGCACGCCCTTGGTGTGTGTCTGTCATGGAGCTGGGTTTCTGCCTGCCTGTGTTTGTTGTAGGGAGAGTGCAGCTCTCCCTCCTGGGTAGCAAGGCTGTACACGAGTCTACAAAGAAAAGAGGGTGTCTGGAACTTGGGGGGCCAGGTGGTCAGTCACTTGGGAGGCCAGGGCCCTTTTGAGGGGGCACTGTGATGGCAGCTTCTGGGCTGAGGGTCTGCTTCTCGGTGTCATGGTTCTAAGCACACAGACCTGTCTGGGACCACTGGACTTGACAAGACCCCCTTTACCTGGACTGGGATTCTCCCGGTGCTGTGACCTACTTAATACGGCTCTGTTAGCCACAGCCCTCCACTGTTTGCTGTATTGTAGGGACTAGTGTCAGGTCGATATGAGTTGGGATTGATGAATGGGGTGGGTGGGTTAGGATCCCAATTTGGAGTGACTTGTCTGTTACGTTAATGAGGCAGAATCTGGCTGGGATGTATCCATGTCAACACCCTTTAGTTAGCCCTGTCACCACCTCCTGCTCTAGTAAGGAGAGCACACCCGATATATAGGAATGCGCAGAAAAGTACTCGCTTGTGCTCTGGATCCGGCGTCTAGCTGGCTTCTGACTCTGGTTCTTGGGACTTGAGCCAGCAGCTGTCATCAGACCCAATCTCCTGGCTTTCACAGCTTTTCGAGCAGACGGCTGTCGTCTCACCTACTGATTTGGATTCATCAGCCTTGCAGCCAGATGGGCCAGGAGAGGCTTCCATACGGACCCGACACCTGACCTGCGTGGGTGGGACTTGCCAGCCCCCACTACCACATGAGCAGTTTCCTTGATGGTTCAAGAGTTCGGTGAGATGTTACAACAGATTATGGGATGGGAGGAGGAGTCGTTGACCTTGGAGATGAAGCTGGTGTTTGAAAATGGTAGACATTTGGAATATCTTTAATCTCCACCTCATAGGAACCACCTTGGTGCTGATTCTGTTTGTAAGTTTTTATTGTGAATTGTGTGATAGTTTACATGGGAGAACGTTGGTTTTGCCCTGATTGTTTCATTGCAATGATTACATTCTCTTCTGTGCATCATCATTCAACAGTATTTGCTTCTGTTGCCTTTTTTTTGGGGGGGGGAGTGGAATGGTATACACAGAAACACTTATGAATATATAATTATTTAAACAACCAAAGGGCACATTCTGCAAGCCTGCCTCCCGGCTGCCTTCTATTTCCTCTGGTTTTTGTGGGGGTGGGGGAGTTGTGCTGATTCTTATCAATTGTTCATGCAATCCTGCTGCTGTTCAGTCCTGTGGAGTCGAGTCCGACACATGGCATGGCCCACGTGACAGAGTCGAACTGTCCATGAGTTTCCTAAGCTGTCATCATTACAATAGATTGCCAAGTTGTCTTTTCCAGAGCCTCTGGGTGGGTTTGAACTGCCAACTTCCGATAGCAGCCAAGCACTTAATCACTGCACGACCAGGGCTCCTTGAGGCCTCTTTACAAGGAAGATGGATGAGGGCCCTAGGAAGTGCTGGAAGGAAGAGGTGGGAAAATGGACTCAAGTTTCAAGTTGTAAACATGTTTACTATTTTTTCCCTAACCAGGTTTATCTGTTTTTTATTTAAAAAAAAAAAAAGTAATAATGCATGCCAACCAGGTAAAAAGGAGCTCTGGTACCAAAGTGGTTATGAGTCAGGCTGCTCACCTCAAGGTCAGCAGTTTGAAACTACCAGCCGGTCTGCAGGAGAAAGATGAGGCTTTTGGCTCTGGTAAAGATTTATAGCCTCGGGAAACCTGTACAGGGTCGCCAAGAGTTGGAACTGACTCCACGACACATCACCATCACCATCACCAGGTAAAACAATCCTGTACAAAAGGAGATTTCTGGAAATTACCTCCTGCTCTTCTGCTGGTCAAGTCCTATGTCTCTTCCTGTTGGACACCCAAGCATGATGGTGTTTGACATGCTGCTGGGGGCTTCACTGTCCTGCTCTAGTTGGAGAGGAGTCCATTTCTCCCCATCTACCCACCTCAGTCATACCCTCCTCATCCCTGGCTGGTGAGCAGCATTTCATGGGCAGCCAATCCTGGCTGTAGCAAATGTCCTTCATGGAGGTCTGGGTGTGAGTCTGTCTGTAGGATAAAAGTCTTGGAAGCCTAATTGTTGGGTCAAAACTAGGCTGTTTTTACATTTTTGAAACAGACACTGACAAACTTAAGAGTCCCCTTTCTGCTCAATTTGTGCCCCCAGTGTGCCGAGTGGCTGGCTACTGTTCTCTTCCCCAGCCCTAGCTTGTTTTTGTTGATCTCATAGGTGAAAATGATCATTTTATTTCCTCACTGATGACTGAGAAGTTAGCGTCCACTTTAAAAAGTCATCTGTGTGACTGGTTCCCATCAGCTCTCTGGTCACCTCCTTTCCTGGTTTCCTAGGACCGGACCTTTTTGATCACTGATTTACAAGAGTGCTCTTTTGCATGAAACATGAAAGCACCTGTTTTGTTCGGTAAGTACTTTTCCCAGTTCGACTTTACTGATAGTGTTTTTGTATTTAAGTTTTTATTGTGAATTGAGTGAAAGTTTACAGGGCAGATAATAATTTTTACATTCAACAAATCATACACTTTGTTTCGTTACAATGATTATAATCCCCTCCATGTACCATAAGCTAACATTCATTTTTTAAAAACACTGTGGCATATATAATAGTTTATACCACCAAAAGGCACATTCCACAAGTCTGCCTCCTGGCCACCAGCTCTCAGTCCCTCTCTTCCCATGAGTCTAGAGTCCCCAGCTGCTCCCTCTCGCCATGTCCCCGTCTCTGGTGTCACTGCTTCTCTGGATAAGGTCTCGCATTCCGCTCGTGCTCTTCTTGTTAGTTAGTTACAGTGTTTTACATTTTATTTGCTGTATTTACCTGCATTATCTTCTGTGGCTTCTGCATTTTATCATTTGTTTAATAAGTCCTTCACTCAGATTTTTAAAATTTTTAAATGTATTTTCTTCTGTTATTTATGTGGCTTCTATTTTTACTCCCATTCCTCCAACTTTCTTCTTTTTCAAAACTGTTTTAGCTATTTTTGCATCTTTGTCTTTCCCTAGAAATATTACCACAAGACTGTACCTATTAGACAAATCCTGTTGGGGGTTTGATAGGAGAACTGACGTCCCCACTCTATCTGTGAACAGTTAGGGTCTCTCCAGTTACTTTGGTTCCTTGGTTTTCTCTGGCCAGCATTTT